TAGATAAGATAAGATAAGATACGATACGATACGATACGATACGATACGATACGATACGATACGATACGATACGGTGGGTGCCTGGAAGGAAAACCTCGTGAGGAATAAGACTGATTGATAGACTTATTTACATTCATCCAAATGGGATTCGCCCTGTTGGAGTGAATCTAGGTGGCTTACAATGTATGAAACTAAAAATAAGCCATAAAAATAATGATAAAAACAAATCACAATAAACACCATTAAATGCTGTTAATAAATCATTAAATACAACGGAAAAAAAACATATTCCTGTCGGGTATGTTGAGCCCGGAGAAGACTTCATAGCCGCTGTTGGACTACCTCAAGGGCTGTTTTGGGCAGAATTGCTCAGAGTCGCTCCACAAGAAAGGCAGGAAATGAAGGGCTTAAGTTTCAAGAAGGCGATGGGACGTCAGTTCAGATTTCCTCGTAGTCAGAGCTGTTCGACAGCGGGACAGACCGCTTGGGAGGTGGTGGGCACGCCTTCCTTAGAAATATTTAATGAACATTAAAGGCCAGGGGGCCGCAGGAGCGGATTCCTGTGCCAGGCAGGGGTTAGACTAGATGATCTCCGAGATCCTCTCCAGCTCTTACAGTCTATGATTCTGCAGCCCGCCGGACTTTTGCTAGGAAGCTTCTACATTTGGGCAAGCTGTTAGCGTGAAAGGACAGGGAGTGGGTCTGCCTTTGAGTGCTCTTTTCTCCCCAGCAATGTCTTTTTCTCTCCTTTACCCCAGCTAAAACTGCAGACTCACTGGTTTCGGAGTTACCCATTTGGGATTTCACTGCTATGATTCCAATGTCATCTTTGTGATGAAAGCATCAAGAAGATAATTGCAGAGGCCCCTGTGGCTGAGTGTGATATTGACTGCCATTTCTGTCCAGAGGTAGCCCCTTGGCACAGCCCTTATCCTGCCCGGCCCATGGGACTGGCTCTGCTTCATTCCTTCTGTTCCTCAGCCCAGTTTGGGAAGCGGAAGGGGAAATCTTAAGTAAAGCCAAGCTCCCTGAGGACGCAGAGGGCTCGCAGAGCTGGAGCTGCTGCTTCCCTTCGCATCTCAGCCTCCCCACTCCTGCTTCCTCCCAAACCCCGGGAGGGGCACCTTTGGCCATTGCGCTAAAGGGGGAACTTGCAAAGGGTTGCATAGCATTTGTCCTTCGGCCACAGAACTATGTGTGTGCGTGAGAGAGAGACCCATATCTACATTGCTGATCTATTTACATCGGTTAGTTTCTCAAAATACAGTTCCCAAGGCAACATGGAAGAGTTCTGCTTAAAACAAAATGTAAAATACACTAATGCAACCCAATTTCCCCTTATAATCCAGAGTCAACATCAAGAAAAAGGTGGTTGTGCTAACTAGAGACAGCCACTTAATCACAAAAAAAGAATGAAAACAACTTGATAAGCCCCAAAATATATTCACCAAAGAAGAAACTAATAATATTTTTTAAAAGCACATGATTAAAAGCCTTAAAAGATGTTGAAAATTGTGAACATACCTTAAACGGCCTGGGTGAATTAAAAAAGGGCACCTCTGGTGCCAGAAAAGCCTTGGTGGAGATGTAGGCGAGTGTTTTCCGCCACGAAAGCCCCCGGGATGCTGACCTCCCCCACGACCAGCCTCCCTCTGTCGGATGGGACAGGCACCCAGGCATCAGGAAGGGGCGCTAAAGTTACTCAGGCATTTGCTTCAGCCATGGTTTCCTTTTCCAAGAACGAGTTTTTGCGGCTGACCCAGGTGCTGTGGTGATGCCAAGACAGATCAGATGTAGGCTTGGCTGGCAGTCTGGGTGGGAAGCGTGGGGAATCTCCAGCAAGGACTGGACATGGGCATAGTCATCCCACCCTTGATTCAAGGCTTGTGCGTCTCTGCTCTGCTGTAGACATTCCGGAGGAAGAAGCCAAATATTGGACCAAGAAGCTAAAGCAGATGAACTCCTTGGAGGAAGATGATGAGGTGGGTCTCTCGCTGCATATCCTCTTCTGCTGGGGACTCTTTCTAGCTGCAAAATGACCCAGCTTCTGAACTGGTTAACCATGCTCCTGTAGAAGGACTTGCCATCGTGCTGGTGGTGGACTTCCTTCTGGAGTGTACCCTGGAGACCCAGGTCGATGCTGACGTGGTGACAGTCCAAGCTAGCTAAACCCAGGAAGCTGGGTGGGAGGAACATGGCTTTGGAGGGCTTCCTCTGGGAAGAATGTGTCTCTTGTCTGAGCTTCCTCCGGGACTGGGACAATCTGGGCACAGGTGGCAGAACACAGCCTTTGTAGCGATAGAAGAGAAACGTCTGCAGGAAAACAACCAAGCTCAGAGAACCCCAAGGACTCCAGAGCCTTTGCTTACACGCAGCACCCTTTCACCTGGGCAGGCTTGTACCGCTCTTTGATAGCAGCATCTTTGTAAGGGGTAGACTGATTTTGGAGCGGGGGGGGGCTGGGTCCAGACATCTGCTAGCTCAGGTCTGAAAAATCTGCACAACACTGTCCTGACATTGTGCAAAAGCGGCTCCTTGTTTTAAAAGTAAATGAATACCTATTATGTATTTATTGTAAGAATGTAGGTCATGCTCTTTAAAGATTCTCAGTAGCCTATAATTATACTGAAACAATAACGTAAGTAAATTGAAAATTGTTTTGGCATAATTGCCAAGAGACCCAGGTTGGTACAGTGGTGAAGGCCCCAGGCTAGAAACTGGGAGGCTGCGAGTTCTAGTCCCACCTGAGGCATGAAGCCAGCTGGGGGGCCTTGGGCCAGTCTCCCTCTCAGCCCTAGGAAGGGGGCAATGGCAAACCACTTCCAAAATCTTGCCAAGAAGACTGCAGGGACTTGTCCAGGTGGTTGCCAGGAGTCAACGCTGACTTGAGGGCGCACACATGTAATTGCCAAGCAAAATATATGGAACTCAGTTAAGTCTTAAGACAGATTGCATTTAATAGGTTAATATATCTTGTATGGTTTGTTGATATTTGTATAACATCGACAGATCATTGTGACAAGTTTTTTTCCCCCCTGGTTTGTACTGTTGTGCTGTTTTCTTTACTGTATTTTTTGGCTATTTAACACCCAGCCTTTTTTTAGAAAAAGTGAGAAAGAAGCCCCGGTCTGAGGCCAGTAAGACTTCCAGCACAGGTCCTGGATGCTTGGCCTAGTGGCCCTGAGGCTTCTGCAACTTGCCCCTGCTATTTTGTGGGGAAATACAGCTTGGACCAACCTGGGGTGATAGCTGTGGTGGCCTGTAGCAGGAGCAGTGACCAAGACCCAGCTGTACCACTCAGTGGACAGCCCTGTGGCAGGGGTGGGCCACCTTTGGTGTCCAGGGCTGTCATAATGCTTCAGCGGATGCGAGAAAGGCAAAACCGGGTAGTCTTCGGTGAAGTTTTCGGAATTTCACTGGCTTTTCCTTAAACCTATTTTAGGCCAAAAAATGCACAAGAATTTCTCTGAGGTTGGAGAACTTTCTGGGTGGGGGTTCAGAGAGGGGCCTGAGGCCATCTGGAGCCCCACGTTGTTGCCTGTATTATTATTTATCAAATCTGGGTGGTGTGCCATACTGAGGCCACGTTTTAAAGACTCTGAACGAGGGGGGCCCTGTGGAGGCCGCAGGGAAGCTGTTCCAGGGGAGAGGTGCTGCTTCCGGGGCCCCATCAGGCAACGTTGCCTTGGCTTCAGCCAGTCCCTGAAGGCTAATACTGGCCTAAACATGGGCACAGCATAGAAAGATAGGAAGCAGCTTTTAACAGTAAGGTGGGATGCCACGTAAGTGTGGCTTTGCTCTTGTGCTCTGATGTGCCGGGATTCCTTCTGTGGCTGCTGAGGAGCTCCAGAGGGAGCGCGTTTGCTCGGCCCAGCCGGAGGAGGCTTCCCTGCTGGCTCCAGAGGCCGAGCAGTGTTTCTCCCCAGCGTGGGACGGGGCGTTGGCAGGGTGCTGTCCCTTCCGTAGCTCTGGCATCCCCCAGAGGTGGGTGGGCTGCAGGCGGTTGAAGTTCCAGGCAGCAGGACTTACTCTCTCTCTCCCCCTCCCCAGCCGTCTCCTACAGAAGACGTCCAGAAGCAGCTGATGCCCCCTGCGGTCTCCCAGTGTTGTAAGTGAGGAGTTTTCCTCCTTCGGCTGTCTGTCTGTCTATCATGTATCTATCACATTTTTATGCCACTCAGCTCCCAATGACTCAGGGTGGCCCACAAGTAAAAACATTAAAATCAAGAAAAAAATACAGTAAGAGACAAGAATAAAAGATGGCAAGGATGGCAGGAACCAGAAAGAACAAAAAATAAATAAGCCCACATGGTGCGAAGAGGGCTTCTGTTACCCTCGCCGACAGCCTGGACGAAGAGACAGGTCTTTAAGGTCCTTCGAAGCACCAGCAGGGCGGGGGCCTTTTGACTCTCGGGGAACCCCATTCCTGAGGGCAGGCCCTGTGACGGAGAAGGCGTGCTTCCGGGTCCTGATAGGTGACATTGTTTAATTGAGGGGACCCGGAACAGGCCTGTCCTACCGGATCTAACAGGAAGGGTAGGCACAACTGGGGAGAGACGTCCGTCAAGGAACCAGCCCTCGTTCTGTGAAGGAGTTTATAGGTAGTGACTGGCGCCTTGAATCACACCGGGAAGCAAACCGGCAGCCAGTGCACCTCGCAAAGCTGTTACATGGGCATACCGAGGCATGCCCATCATGCCCGCACTGCTGCATTCATGGTAGAAAGTGATTCATCTGGCTGACTTCGCAGCATCTGGGAACCCCAGAAAAGTCTTTGTACCTGGGTCCTTCTGGGTGGGTCTTCAGACATTGTGTTCGGTTATTGCCTGAAGCAGAGACGGGGGTGTTCGGCTGGGTAGAGCCCGGAGTCCGTTCGGTTGGCCTGGCGGGAGAGGGAGCAGGACGCTTTGTGGGGTGATGAAGAGGCGGCCCTGGGGGTTGCCTTCCCTTGGCTTTGCGGGGTGGACTGGGGAGCAGGAGGACTTGGGAAGAGTGGCTGCTCTCATTTCCACTCTTCTCCCAAAGAAAATAGCCTGAAACTGCGCTCCTGAAATTCAGTGCGGGGGGTGGGGGGACTTTGAAGGTGGAACTAGGAGTACTTTGCCTCTCAGAGGTCTCCCACGTCCATTTTCATCTTTCCTTTTCTGAAAACAAACAGCCAGAATTTGCAACATTGAAAATCAGCCATTTTGCTGCCGAAGTTTGGTGCTGGGATGGCAGCGATCCACAGCCTGCGGGTTAGTCCTAAAGCTTGCTGGAGAATTGGAGAAAGTGATGCTTGCGTGTTGCAACCGCGAAGAAAGAGCCTTCACAAACCCTGAGTGTGGGTTCCTTCTAAGCTCACTCAGGCTTCCAGTTCCTGTGGGCAGGCCGGTCACAACAAAAGGGAGGCTGAGCTGGGGGCTTTGTTGTAAAGAGCAGGCAAAGAAAATGGGCTGACCCAGAATTTCCCCAGCAAGTGAAAAACTAAGACATCCTGTCTTCCCTCTTCTGCTGAAAGCCTGAAGACTTGGCCATATCTCATAGTTGCTTATCCACTAAGCCAATTAGAGGCTCTCTTCAAAGAGGTTAACATTAGGGATTTTTAATAACTGTCCCCACGGATAGACAGGCTAATCATCAAGAAGCTTAATCACTTTCTCTTCAACATGACTGTACTGTGTTGCAGGACTGACTTAAAATCTAATTTCTGGTCTTGAAATGAAAGGAACTTGGGATGTGTGGAGTGACAGAATTCTTTCTAAACTGAGGTGTAAATCCTGGAAGAAGATGGGTACTGACCAAGTTCGTTTTCAAAATCACGTAAAACTGAGAAGAAGCCCTGTTTCAGTGTAACAAGAGGGGCAACTATCCTGGGCTGACCTATAGATGGCAAAAGATGCTGGGCAAAACTTTCGGGATCATTAAAACAGCTCCATGGCACTGCTTCTCCTGGGCTGCATGATGGACCTAGATATGGTGGGTGGGGGGGCGGGAGAAGTTCTGAAGTGGTGCTAGAAATGAGTTTTACTGCTGAATGTTGGTGATGCAAACTTCAGGTGCTGGGAAGTTCAAATGGGGGACAGCAAAGGTGGACAATAGGCAGAGGACTGCATTACCTGTAGATAGTGCTGGTACAGGAGGCTTAATTAGCCAACACCTTGCCTCATTTAAGGAATTTAATGGAGCTCCAGGCTGCATAAGAACTGCGCGCTTGCAGTTGTTCAGGAGTGCTGGGAGTGTTGATCAGCAAATGTGCTCGGAACAGGACTGCAAGGAAGCAGCCGCCTTCCGTTTGGTTTCCTTGAGTCATTCTTGGAGGTCTGCCCAGAATGGCTGATGCCCCATTTCACTGGTGGTGATTCTTGCCATTCTTCAGTTAATTTAATTCATGCAATTTTGTTGTTGTTGTTGTTCAGTCGTTAAGTCGTGTCCGACTCTTCGTGACCCCATGAA